GAGCCATGAGAACGATTAAAGGATTAGAAAACCTGTTTTCTAGCAATAGACTCAAGTTGCTCAATCTGTTTATCTTAACAAAGTGAAGGTTAAAGGGTAACTTGATTACAGTCTACTTGGCTCTTCAATCTAGCAGAGAAAGGTATAACACAATCCAATGGCTGGAAGCTGAAGCCAGACAAATTCAGACTGGAAATAAGGCATACATTTGTAACAGTGACAGTAATTAACCATTGGAACAATTTACCAAGTGTTGTGGTGGATTCTCCATCACTGACCATTTTTAAATCAATTTTTTAAATCTTGCAGCTCCCATTGGCCGGGAATGGCGAACCGCGGCCACTGGGAGCTGCGGGTGGCCGTGCCTGCGAACGGGTCAATGTAAACAAACCGTCTCGCGGCCTGCCAGCAGATTACCCTGACGGGCCGCGTGGGGGCCGCAGGTTGCCCACCACTGTCCTAACCCTAGTCCTCTGGCCATGTGAGGTTCATCTCTCACAGGAGGCATGCAATGGGACATGGGTATACAAAGCCTTTCCCCATCACAAGAAGTGGGCTGTAGTCCACGAAAGCTTATGCTCTAATAAATTTGTTAGTCTCTAAGGTGCCACAAGTACTCCTGTTCTTCCCATCACATAGTTCCTCTGATCTTTCTCTGCACCTTTAGGGCTACACTGTGTAAAGGGAGAAGATGATATGGCCCTGCAGAAGGAAGTTCCCATTGTGTATAACAACCATCGCACGGCTACCAAGCACACTGGGTGTGTCTACCCTGAGCTCCCATTGCTGCACTAGGTATATTCAGGCAGAATGCCCTTGCTGTGCTGCAGAGCAGACCAGCTATGTCTAAAGAAAACATTAACAGATGAGAGCCGCAAAGCAGGGGGGGTGAAGGTCAGGCCACGTAAGGGGTAACGTCTGTGCCACACTGTGCTGACAGAGCTACTTTTCTGAGTTTTATGCCTACAGCAAGTGAAGACAGATGCACTGGGAAAATGGGAAGTGTAAATCTAGCCTTATCTAGTCAAAATTCTTCGCCAGGGAGATCTAGGAACTTCAGAGAACAGTGAAGTGACATTTAAAGGATACATCTAAGAGACTGATCATCTCTCTGCAGGTGTTTATGTTGAATCCATCACTTTTAATGTCTGCCCCTGAACAAAAAACAGTCAAATACTTTAGACAAATATTTTCTGCAGCCCACAGAAATATAGTCCACCCACAGTCAGCATCTGCTATTAGGGCAAAGACACTTTCATTGCTACTAACATTTCTCCCAACTTATTTAAAAAACAAAGTGAATATTTAGTACAGGCAAAAGGGTTTGGATTAAAAATACCGGAGAGGAAAGGCCCGTTTATCCACAGAACATATACAGCATGAGCAGTTGCAGTACATGCTTTTCCCAAACTGCCCTGCCAAGGATCTACGCTGCATCCATTTAAAGAAAGAGAGAGCTTCTGTGTTTGCACTGAACAAGACTGATCCTTTTGTAATCAATGTAGATTACACAGAATACACTATAGTGAACTGGGTAGGGTGTATGTGCAGATGCCCTCTCCTGGTAGAATTGGAGTTGCACATTCTGTCATAAATCCTGTACTGCTAATAGAGATTCTCCTTAGCTCGTGTGGTAGAGGATTGTGCTTTTGGAGCAGGAGGAGCTGAGTTACATCTTTGTTGTCAATACAGGGTTCCAGGAGGCCATGCTGTGCCACACAGCAACACCTCTGGAGTCCTCCTGAGGGATGGATTTCAGACAAGTACCTGTACAGTTTGTTAGGCTGGATCCAAATGTAGAAACACACAGTGAGTGAGACCCAGTCACTTCTCCCAGGGTGAGCCCTGACCTCTCTATTCAAACGCCACATTCCAGTCCCATTATTCTGAAGTGACAGTTATCTTACAGAAACATTCATTACCCGAACTGATCCCAGCAGTTTTCCTTTCACATTATTACTTGTTCACGTGCTATCAGAAATGGCCATGGCACAGAAATTCATTGTGAACCAAAGAGAGATCCTGTATGTCTTACTTGCAGCATCTGCCTACCAGCCCTGCTCAGTGTGAAACTTCTAATGTCACTTACTCTTTGTTAACACCCTATTCAGAACAGTTTGAAGTTCATTTGCAGTCATTTCACAGTCCTGGAAACAGAAAACAAACATATTTCAGGTGATAACATGATAAACGTTTAGAACAAACCAACTGTGCATTCATTCACTGCAATACCCCTACAGACAACTCCACTTCTAATCCTTATCTTAAGGCATGGGACTCTAATGCTTGATC